ATGTTGAGACTCTAGAAAGAGTACAGAGAAGAGCAACAAAGATGATTAGAGGACTGGAAGTTAAAACATATAAGGAACGGTTGCTGGAACTGGGTATGTCTAGTTTAATGAAGAGAAGGATGTGGGGTGACATGATAGCAGTCTTCCAATATCTCAGGAGTTGCCACAAAATAGAGGGAGTCAAGCTAATTTCAAAGCACCTGAAAGCAAGACAAAAAGAAATGGGTGGAAATTAACCAAAGAGAGAAGCAGCCTAGAACTAAGGAGAAATTTCCTGACAGTTAGAACAATTAATCAGTGGAACAAACTGCCTCCAGCAGCTGTGAATGCCCAACACTGGAAGTTTTTAAGAAGAGACTGACAGCCTTTTGTCTGAAATGCTATAGGGTTTCCTGCCTGAGCAGGGGGTTGGAATAGAATAGAATAGAATAGAATAGAATAGAATAGAATAGAATAGAATAGAATAGAATAGAATAGAATAGAATAGGGCTGAAAGGAACCTTGGAGGTATTCTAGTCCAGCCCCTGCTCAAGCAGGAGAACCTATACCATCTCAGATAGGTGAATGTCCACAATTTCTGGGGGTAAGTTGTTCCACTGGCTGATTGTCATCAGCTGTTTCACTGGCTGATTGTCATCCAAGTCTTGTAGTCATTCTTTGTGTGTTTTAGTCTCCGGGCCTTTGATCATCTTAGCTGCTCTTCTCTGAATTTTTTTCAAACTCTTACATCTTTTTTTGTGATAAGGTGACCAAAACTGGCTGCAGTATTCCAGATGTGGTCTTACTAGGGTTTTATAACATGGTAATAATATTTCACGTGATCTTGATTCTGTGCCTCTGTTTATACAACCCAGGATTGTATTAGCTTTTTTTGGTTGCTGCTGCACACTGCTGGCTCATAGTCAAGTGATCGTTCACTAGGACTCCAAGATCCCTCTCACAGTTACTGTCTTTAAGCCAGGTCTCACCCAATCTGTATTTGTTCCTTTGGTTTTTCCTGCCTAAATGTAAGACTTTGCTTTTTTCCACATTGAAACTCATTTTGTTGGAGTCGGCCCATTGTTCAAGTTTGTCAAGATCTTTTTGGTTCCTGAGTTTGTCTTCTGGGGTGTTGGCTACTCCTGTCAGTTTGGTGTCACCTGCAAATTTTATGAGTTCCCCTTCAATTCCGTCATCTAAGTTATTTATGAAGATATTGGGCCTAAAACAGAACCTTGTGGTATCCCACTGCTTACTTCTAGATGACCTCCAAGGTCCCTTCCAACTTTATTATTATTATTGATCATTGCACGGTCAGCCAGATGTTCAGACTGGATTTGGCAGTTTTGTTTACTTATCGAGTCCTTACCAAGTACCTGAGATAGGCAGATGTAGATGTTTGAATTGATGGTATTACAGATATCATCGCAGGATGGAAGCTGTTCCTAGTAAGGCCGCCTTTTGCAATTGACTGTTGGTGAATTTGTCAATGCCATTGGTGTCCAAGTGGTGCTCCAGTTGCTTTGGGATTGCACCCAAGGGGGCCTATTACTATTGGTACTACCCTTGCTTGCCTTTGCCACAGTCATTCTATTTCTATTTGTATGCCTCAAAGTTCTTTTGAAGGGTTTCATCTGTCGGAATCATGACATTATTATTATTATATCTGTGGCATTTTGTCAACCCTAAATTTGATTAAATAAGTGAAGGAATTTAAAAGGAAAGAATTTAAAGAGAAATATCAGAGATAGATGGCTTTTATCTCTTTAAAATTCTCTTGTAAATACTCCTAGAGTCACTTTAAATTTCTGAGTAGTCAGAGGAATTAAAGGAGCTTCAAAAGATCCATGGCCATTTGCAAATACTTCTCCATTCTCATATTGGTTAAGATTCTTATGTTCCTCCGTAGAGTGTAAATTTGTTCTCAGATCTCAATGTCAGTCTTGGGAAAAAAAGTAGAAAACGGCAGTTGCTTTCAAAACTGCTTCTGAACAGGGGCATCCCATGGGCAGCTGCTGAAAAGACACAGCTAACACCATTATTGAAGTTGATTGATTTTATAAAAATCCAGATCTAGATCATCATGCTTTGATCATCTGAAACAGTCTGACATTTGAGAGAAATATCAAGCATGTGTACACTGTCTGACCAGAATTTGATTAGATTTGCCTTTTCTTTATCCCCATCTGATAGAAGCATTTTGCATTTCATTTTGTTCTTTTGGGTTCATGGCAAATATAGCTCTTGCCTGAACCTCTAGGTTTGCTGAAGTTTACTTGACATTAATTTTTAACTGCTTCTTAGAACCAGGTGCTTCTTTCTGTGTCCACGGTTCAATTTTCATTCAAGTGAAACCATCTTTTTTGAATTTGTAAGTTTAATTACACTTGAATGGACTTATTTCTGGATAGGATTACTATAATGTTTAAATCTTAAGCAAACTCGTTAAGGAGAACATGAGAAGCCATGATGAGTCCTTTTCAGAATAAGAGGCTATAGGACTGTTCTTGATAAAGAACTTCCTATATGTGCGTATGAGAGTGGGAAGGTGGATGTAGAACTGCCTGGATCTGGTGTTGAGTTTGCGATCTAGTTCAATTTGAAATACTCAGTCATGAATCAGTCTAAATAACTTGCACAGAAACACACACACCCAGAAAATCTAGTAATTTAATTAGGATGGCAGCTGAAATTAAAACATTTCCCTGTCATAGGCCTAAATTTAAATGCATAGTTTCAAGTTGTACTTCATTATCCTTGCAGTGACAAGATATTTTTTTAACCACTTTATCTCAGATTTGTCAGTAGTGGGTCTACAAGAAACCATCTGCTGCTAAACTTTGGAAGCCTTCTGTCAGTAAGTCACTGTTTTCTCGAAAAGAAATGTATGAATCAATCCACATGTTCTCAGGGCTTCAAGGTATTTCATAGGAAAAAAAAAAGTCTGCTCCCATATAATCCAGATACAACCCTCATGCCCATGCCCCATGCCCATGTAACTATAAATACATTATTCAATACTTTTCTTCTACTCATCCCGCCCCATTTTAAATTATAGAGCCCTTAACGTAGAGGATCTAATGTTGAAGGAGGCCTGGCAGAACATTGAGTGTAACCCTCATCTTTGATACAGAAAATCCAGAATGATAGTGTTCTTGATATCAGTCATCTCATTAAATAGACTTTCCAGAAATGATCTTGAAGATCTCCAGAAAGAAAGAACCCACCATTCCTTGAAGGACTTGTTTTATATGACAGACTGTTCACTGTTAAGAAATTTTTCCTAATGATGAATCAAAATCTATTCAGCTGAAGTCAGCCATTCTATTTAGTGGGGGGGGGGGAGGAGATAACCAAGTCTCTTCTTTGGGACAGCTCCTGAGGCATATAATCACTGCCCATGGATTTTTGTGCCTAGATAGGCATACCAGATTAAACACATTTTTGTAAGTGAAGATTTTCAGGTAATGTTTTGAGTGAAGGGTATATTGATTAAGAGTTAAGCAAGTTGTTGGACTTGAATCAAGGGCATCCAAGAATCAAATCCTCATTCAAGTAGGTATGAAGCTCACTAGTGAAGCTCACTAGGTAATACCAGTGACTTTTTCAACCTTATCGGGGAGTCGTCTTATTGGGTAGGTGGGCAGCATATAAATTTAATAAATAAAAAAAATAAATCTAACTTACATAAAGAGGAAATTGTGAAGATAAAATTGTATCCCCCACACATGCATCCCAACTAAAGGCACTGAGTCTTCACTTCATCTTAAAACGAATAGTTTTATTCGTCACCCACCACCATCTGATGATGAACAAAAAGTGACAGTTAAATAAAGGTGAAACAATCTTTTAACTTTTTGCTCATACTTATAGAGTTTGCCTCTTCAATTTTGCTTTGCTGATAATTAAGTTATCTGCAACAGCAATGTTTAAAAATATCCCTTAATTATTTTTAAAATAACCACTGTACAATCAATCACAATAAAGAAAAAGGCTAAGGGGGCGGAATTCTGCATTGTGCGCCAATTCCAAAAGCAGTTGGAGAGTTATCATTATTTTGTTTTAATTAATGCTCATGCACATAAAAGGTTCCTGGAATTTAGCAGGGATTTGTTCCTTCAGTGCACTGACGAATTCTTCCAAACACATGACACATTCGGAAACACGAGATTCCCCCCAGAGATTTAACAAACAGTTCAAATTCTGTCATCACAATTCAATTGAAATCCTTTTCATATCTGCTATTTCCATTCACCTGGAATTGTGCACGAGTGGGCAAACCCAGGAAATGATACTCCGGTTCTCCCGGTGTATATGTGTATTCTGTAGACATCAGGACTCTGTTAAGATCTTTTCGTTCTGGAGGTTGCCTGTCACTTCATTTGAAGGAATGCACAGTAACATTTGGAGATCTTTTGACAGCGGAAAATTTTTCCAGTATTCGTTTTAAGACGAAGTGAAGACTAAAATCTGTTATTGGCGAAAACACAGAACCTGAATTCTTCACCGACCTGATATGCCAAGCAGTGATTCCCCCATCTCCCCCCCCCCCCGCATGATGGCATGTAAAGACCGTTGCTATCTCCAGGCTAGAGCCTATTGGCGCAGTCAAACTTCCACGCCACAGTTCCTCGCGGGAGCACTTTCTCGGTGCCTTTAGTTCAGTCCGCAACTTCATGCCAAACGCAATCCTCTTTCACGTGTGATGACAAACATGATTTTCTCCATTTAACACTCTCGGAAGAAAGAAGTCTCCCGACTCAGAGGGAGGCGGTTACGCCGGGCTCTTTCCCGCTTCTGAGCAAGGCTTCTTGCCGCCCTCAGGCGAGACGGGAGAGAACCCTCAGCTCAGCCGTGTATCCCGAAAAGCGTGGCTCTGTGTGGAGAGCCGGAGCGGGACAGGGGTCTTTGGGCCTGGCCTGGCCTGGGCTTAAGTGGCCAAGATCAGGTTCCCGCTCCCCCCCCCCCAACCCACTGCTTTCTCCGGCCTCTGGCTGCCCAGGTTGCGATTTCTTCGCAGGGGACCGGGACTGGGCGGGCCGAGAGAGGCGAAGGGAGGCGGTGGCCACTCCTCTTTAAGCCTCTAGCTGTCCCCGCCCGCTCAACAGCAGCAGCTTCTCTCCAGCCCGGGCGTGCAACAGCGGCGGCGCAGGGAGCTCCGGCCAGTGCGCGGCGACACGGCTGCCCAGCGCGGCGCCTCCGCAGTGCTCCCGCTCCGCCCCGGCATGGTAAGTGAAGGAAGGAATGCAAGCCGACTTGGGGACAAGGGCATTGGGCGAGAGAGAGAGAAAGGGAACGGGGGTTACTGCAGTCCTTGCTGGCAGCCAGGTTCTGCTCGAGCGTGGCTACTGTTGGTGATGCTCCATCTCGCCTGGGATTGTGGCAAGGGAATTCCCCCCTCGAATTGGTATCCGAACAGCTTCCCTGTTCGGTGGTGCTAAGTCCCGACGGCATAGCAGTCATTTCCCGCCCCCTCCTCTCCCCATGCCCCGATCCGGTCTGGGTGGAGGATTCTTTTTTTTTTTTTTTTGTTCCCTGCCCCAAAGAGACCTTCAGCGCTTCTTCTGGACAGTTCTGCCTCTTCACTCTTCCCCCAATTCGGAGTCATAGTAGGCCCCCTTGGGGGCAACTCCAGCCTCCCTTAGCACTGTCCGGCTTCTTTCTCCGACTCATTTTTGCCTAGGCAGGTAGCCTCTGATGTTTCCTTCTCTCTTGTAGCCCATCACTGGAGGAGCTGTGATAAGGAGATCGGGATTCGGAGAAGAGCCCATCTTTGCCCTGAAGCAGCCGAGTAGTGCCTCTTGTTTCTTATCAGGATGAAGTGAAGTGCCAAATTGCTCCTCTTCAGATCCATGGAGTGGCAAGACCGAGGTTCTTGATTGGACTGGGCTGGGCAGAGCCCCCCCCCACCTACCTCCTCCTCCATTCTGGTCTTTCAACTCACCATGGGGTGGAGGCATCTCCTCTTGCTTCTACCATTTGCTTTGTATGTCCTGACACTACTTCTGACCACCCAGGCAGCTGGGCCCCCACGGACGCCCAAGGGCAACCGGACACAGGGGGCAGGAGCCTCTCGGAGACCTTACAAGCCAGCCAAGGAGCAACTGAACCAGTCCCTAACCAGCACGGCCCCTTCTTCTGTGCAAGCCAGTGGCGGAGGAAGCCGTGGACGCAGTCCTGGTGTAGGTCCAGCAAAGTTGCCCTCCTCCAGCAGCAGCAGCAGCAGCAGCAGCAGTGCAGGCAATTCCAGCCCAGCATATGAGACATGCATGGGTTACTATGATGTGAGTGGGCAGTGGGACAAAGAGTTTGAATGCAACAACACTCAGCAGGATTTTCGCTACTGTTGTGGCACCTGCTCTTTCCGCTTCTGCTGCAACAAGCGCTCTAAGAAGCTCAATCAGGAAAAGTGCCGAAATCAGGACCCCCGTCCTAGCACAGATCCTATGACCCCTGCCACCAGCAATAATGGACCTGGAGATATACCCAATGGGTATGACCCTAATGAGGACAACACAAATGCCACCGTCTACATTTCATGTGGGGCCATTGCCTTTGTTGTCATTGCGGGCATTTTTGCTAAGGTGGCATATGACAAAGCACGACAACCGCCACAGGAAATGAACATCCACAGGTGAGAACAGAGTGTGGACCCCAGTAACTTTTTTTTTTCACTTTCCACAACTTGAATGTGCACTGATGTGAGTGAAATAATCTCACTCCAAATACTATCATCCTGTGACTTGGGGAGAAATCCCCTGCCTCACAGAAACACCACTGTCTTTCCCAGGTTGGCTTATGACAGGAAACCCCACTTTACTGTCTTATAAATGGGATGATTGATTTTCTTGTTCCTTCGTGCAATCTGTTCTCCTGCAGGAAATGAAGGAAGGAATTTTCTTTAGGATACTTGAGACATTTTCACCTGCCGTTCTTCGTGGATCCTTGTTTCCCTAGAGAAACAAATGTGCAAAACCTCATACAAGTTGTCTCACCTCCTGGTATTATGGAGATCTTCATTTCTTAACATTTATTTTTTTCACAATTAGCAGGGTAATTTCTTCTATAGCAACCTTGCCCAGCTTAGCATCCTCCAGAAATTTTGGACTAAAACTCCCGTCGTCCTTCTATACCTTCTCTTTTTATTAATAGAAACAATTGGGAAAAGTAGATTTTAATATCTCCCTCTGAAAAAGGTGATGTTATTAGAAATAGATATAATACCAATACTACAGTACTGAGTATTATCATACACACTGCATATTTTTAAATAATCCAATTAAAAATTGTCATAGTTTAATTAGTTTAATTAGAATTATAGAGTTGAAAGAGACCATAAAGATCATCTAATCCAACTCCCTGCAATGTGAAGGAACATCATAAAAGCCTCTTTGAGAGGGGGCTGTTCAGTCTCTTCCAAACACCATCAAAAATGGAGAACCCACAACTTCCATAGATAGACTATTGTTACAGTGAGATAAATTCTATTTTTTTAAAAAATATATATAAACACACAAAGGCACAGGAGAATATTTTTTTCTAAATAACTTGCTCAAATATGGATTATGGAGAATTATAAAGTAAAACATAATCATAAAGTTGAATAAAGATTCAGGTTATGGTAAATTTTACTCAAAAAATAAATGAGCAGTTTCTTTTGAATTAGGTAGGCTGAAGAGGAAAGAGTGAATTTTATCCGAGACTCAGCTACCTAAAACCTGCTACAGTTTGAAGAACACCCTCTAAATAGAAAGTGTAGGTGGCTGAGTTCTATATTAATAACTAAAATTATTTAATAGCCCAATTATCACAACCATCTAACAAATTTAGAGACCTTACTTTATAGGCTTTAAAAAAATATTGTCCTATGATTTTTTTTAAAAAAAATTAGGTCTTTTAAATGTTTTAGCTACAAACCTCTTGATGAGGTTTGAAATTGACAACTTTAACAAATGTTAATCTTTATTTCTGTTTTCATTCTGTTTTCAAATCTGTATTTATCTTTAGGCACTAACATTAATTTGTTTTATTCTAACAACAAAGCACAGAATTACATAATGCCAAGCCGGCTTAAAATAGGAAAAGAGTTGTTTACTTTTAACAATATATAAACCTTTCAAAGCTTTCTTTCCCTCAGAGAAATGAGGGAAATATCTCATTCCTCATTGCAATACAACATCTTTGTATCATTCTTTCCAAAATCGCGAGAACTAGTTTCTGTGTTGTTTTGTAGTTTTCAAAACAGTTCAGATTGCTCTGTTTGCTGTTCATCAAACACCTTTTTATATAGCTACAAATCTTGAACAGGATTTTCTCATTTTCTCTCTTTTAAAGTTTACACTTATCATATCTTCGTGTTAAACTCTCAACAGTTTTTTCCCTGCTTGATGAAACTGCACAAAAACTCTCTGGGCTGTTTTCTACAAGTTCCATCTATTCTTCCCAAGGTTATAACACTTTTCCTACATTTTTAAATTCCCTGCTTAAGATTCTCTTTCTTCTTCTTTAACTTCTGTTAACTTTGCATCCTCCTCCACTAACTCAACTAAAAGCATGCTTGTATAGCTGCATATTCACCTTCACCCCATTCCTGAATTCTGTCGCATATTCACCTTCACCCCATTCCTGAATTCTGTCTGTAACTTTCACACTTCCTATGGTGCCTGATTTTCTCCTCCACTCTGTGTCCTGCTAGTTTTATTTACTCTAAGTGCTATAGAAAGTGGAACACTTTCAACTTGCACTTCAACAGGATTAATCTCTTTTTCTAAGCCAGCTTCTTCTCCTTTATGTTCTAGAGAGGAGACCCATGTCGGATTTTATTGTTGTTGTTCAATAGTTAGAGCTACTAGGAAGTCCTCCATGTTTCTCTTTTAAGCATGTTGAGGCATTCTAAATTAACATTTGAGTAATTAAGGTGGTACTTGGTACTTTCTTTGTCTTTAAGTATAATAACAAAAGAAAACTATTCACCCTCTGTGGAAATGTTGCATAGCAGAAATACATTTTCACTGGGGGGGGGGGAAGTCAGATGCCCTTCATTTTACCTCTGTGAATGACAAGTACTCTTGCATCTGACATGAATTGTTGAGATGGGACTTTCAAATGTAGGATTTGGAATGTATATGTCACTCAAGTGTAAGTAAGCTAATTTGTAGTGAGCAATTTTTTGAAAATATGTAATAGAAGCAATCATGACAGAGAGGAGCAGCTGCCTTTGCATGATTATCTTTCATTTAAATCATCAATTAAATATTGTGTATGCTGAAAGACTTGACACCAGCTTATTAAATGAAAAGCAAGTGTATTTTACCAGTGCATAGAATACAGTATCAGCATTCTACTCAGTAAAATCCCAAGCAAGATTACAAAAAAGCCCAAATTTATCACAATTATCTCCCCACCACCCCACCCCACTGCCACACGAGCCAATCTGGAAAAGTTGAAAATATTCTCTTATTTCATTTTTCTCATTTACTCACTACAATGAAGGGCAACTCATCAGCTGGTATGCACACTGAATCACATTTTTCTGACAGTCTTAGCTTTGCATATGAAGGGTTATGCTAAAACTGAATTTTAATTCAAACGCACTTGGCTCTTAGTACCTTAAGAGTATTGGCCAGCATGCATACACACACACATAGAGAGACACATCCTACATACACATATGCACACAGTAATAATATTTAAAACTTCTGTCAGCAGTACTATGAAATATTACTGAATGCTATGAAATATTATTGCGTTAGCTTCAGTAAATATTGGGAAGAATTGAGAATATGACTTATAGGACTGAAATACCTCTTTTTTGTTTCATTAATGCTTTTGCTAAGGTCAGCAAGTCTCATTAGGTAAACGGCATTCTTGGTAAATGAATTTTGAAATATGTGTGTGCTCCTCTTTCTCATATTTTTTTTATAATGCCAGGAGTAGTGGCATTACAAAATCTCTCATCAAAATCACATGAAGCCTTATCAGCCCTGTCTAAACTCCCTCTTGTCATTTCTATTCTTAGATGTTCTTTTCACTTTTAAAATATGTTTTTAAACGCTGAAATAAATCACTTGTATGGAGATCAAGGATCTAAAGAAATGAATAACAATTGTGTTTTGGAAAAAATATATCTTTGGAAGGGTGGATTTTTAATATTATTAGAGCATAGAAGATGACAAAAGATTATATCTTTCAGAGACATTTAACCTACATTTCATCAACTTTGGTAAATCCATTTGTATCCTTCAGAGACATTTAACCTACATTTCATCAACTTTGGTAAATCCATTTAAATACTAAGAGCCATAGACTAGTTTTTAGGGGAATGCATACAATTCAAGGTGCCCGACTTTTGCTAGCAAAAGAGTCACTCGGACTTGTACAGCATGTCAAAGGCCACACTTCTAAAACACAAGTTCTGTTGCCTTGATTGAAGTAGATATGTTAAAATAAGTTGCAAAAATTAAGATTGTAAGGACAGTTCTGATATTACTAATTGGTAACTTTACAAATCTTAAGGAATCTATTTTGTCCCTTCAAATCTCCTAAAGGCCACGCTGGGAATTGCCAAAAGAATGTGGTAGTTCGCTTGAAATCATGGATCCTGCTTTTCTTATATTAATGTATTTCTTCCTTATTTTAAAAATAAAATCATATATGGTCAGGATCCATCTGTTCTTATGATTGAGGAAATGAGATTTCCATATTTTTAGATCTTTCAGTTCTGTGCAGGCTAGTTATGTTTTGGGATGATCAAGCTGGGAGGAAAAAATGGGGCTGATGGAAATACATTCTTGTCCAAACATGCTGGTCACTTACCTTAGGTTAAGCTTAATATCTGGGACCAGATAATCTTTTGCAACTATAAGATGAATTTCCAGAATTGGGGGTATAGTAAATAAATTACTTGCCACAAAGGGGAAACCAGTGACTTTGGATTAAATAGTCGATTTTAGGTGAATTGATATTTTTACTGATTTAAGAGGGAGTAAAATCAGTTCTAAATTATAATGGATATCATGTATATAAAAATGTTCTAAGAGCATATATAGATACTATAATGATTGTTATTTTACTCTGGGGAAAACAGTGTTAGTTCAGTCTGAAGGATTCTTAAGTAAGGCCTCTTATAGACATAACTGTATAGTTATAGGACCAATATTTCTGGTTAGATTTTATGAGATGCCTAATTTACAGTTACTAAGAAAAGTATTATTGTGTGTCATAAAGAAGCAGCATGTTCAACAGTGAACGATATTGTCCGCTGACAGTTCTGGGTTACTTTTTGAAATGTAAGCTTAAGAATGGCTGATATTGGTCAGTGCGCACATTTTCTAACATTTCAGGTTGTCACTTTTTTACATATAAAACAAAGTGATACAAGTGTTGAGCAATTGGTTGGAATTTTGAATATATAGGGAAAAGCAGCGAAGTGTTGGAATTAAGAACTAAGATTTTTAATATTATTTTTATTGAGGAAATAACACAGAGAAATAACGTATATTAAGTAAAAGGTACAATGACATTGTAATTGCTTGAACTGATATATCACAAAGATAACACAATTTAAATTGCTAATTTTAGTAGCAGAAGCACAATTATGTATCTGACTTATTCATGTGGGTAAGAGTAAATATT